TAAATCGACTGAATACCAATCCCGGTAACAGGATCGATCAATCGCTTGAAATTCATATCCGTAATTTCAGCGCTGAACCTCCGAACGTCTCCAGCTCGTACTGACGGTAACTTCCATGGAAACAGTTAATCCAACTGATTCTCATATTTCACAATATCGTCACCATTGTATTCCTTAAATTCTGAAGAAATTGTGAGCATTACAGTTCTACGGCTTCATATTCAAGGTCGTGATTACAATCATTTGAATGTTACTACTCATGGAAATGACTCTATAAGCATGACTGGCGATCAAGAGTGTCTTACAACATTATATTTGAAATAGCAGCAGCGATCAAGAACAACGAGAAAACGTCTAGAATTGAATTGCGCATTCTTCACACGTCTGCTTGTCATCGAAAAAGGCTCGTCTGGTTCATTGAAAAAAAACAAACTTACTTATTGGATGATACCCTTCACCAGGACCCTCGATGTGTTGTCTCCGTTTTTCAAAGCACTACGTGATTAATACAATATGAACAGTGACATTAATTTATTGTGTTACCTGACTATTGTACATACTGATTGAAATCTGAACACAATATAGAGTGTAAATTTTAAAACGATAAATTTTCGACGGTAAATTTGATACGAGAATTGATACTGTGATTACCCATCATGATTCATAGCTCACTAAATTACCAATAATAATTCATTCAAGTGACGACAGCGTCGAACGAGTTCATTCACCATCTTCTCTCGAGATGTTTTCCTCTATCAGCAATGAACTAATTTGCATTCACTTCAACACAAGTCTGATCATTATTACTTCATATAAGACTCATCATAATTTTAATCACATCAAATTTTATAATTGGTTTTAATTTGTCGGTGTAAATCAAAGGGAAGTGGCTCGATTGTACGATTATCGAGTTGATATGATACTGGTTGGTTACATCGTCTGGCAGTAGTGAGAAGGAGGAATATTTGAATCGATTAACGCATTGATTTGTCATTATTGACGATCAATACGGTTGTGGATGTTAGGATTATATGAATACACGACCACAAATCACTACTAATGCAGCTCATTCATGAACGAATGTGTTTTCGAACGGAAAACAAATATTTATTCACGGCTGGCAAATAATATTCATTTTCATGAATATTTGCCTTCAGACGTCATTTGTTTGATGCAGAAACATTCGATCATCACAGATGAACGATCATCACACAAGCGATTCAAAGAAACATTATGGTGAGCCGTGAGGTGACTGTCAGTTACAAATCAGTGGGACTGAAGTTTGATGATGTGGAAGAACTGATAAACCAAACAGATCAGAATATCGCACATGTTCATGAGCAATACTGTACCTATAAATGTAGCAGAATTTCCAGTCAGAAAGATTTTCGTGAACAGTTTCTGATGCAGCCATTTCAGAACTGAACAGTTTACGCAGTTCATCACGTAGTTGAACTTGGGGAACCAGGCGAATCAGACAGTGAAGTGAAAAATGCAACTTGGTAGTAGATTGTCGAAAAGCAGCTGCTGGACAATACTAGCTCAGCCATTTTTCAACAGATTCTCTTGGGGATTTCGGTATGGAAGTTGAGAAATCCAGAATGATCCTGCCTGTAGAGACGAGCTTATTTTGATCTGTGCAGATAAACGCGCTTCTACAGGGTCAACCATTCAGGCAATTTCATATCTTCATTGGGCAGTAGAAGTTCCGAATAGCTCAATAATAATAATAATAGCATTCGCTTGGTGATGACCACGCGAAGACTTCCAGCGATAATCAAAATAGAATTGCATCGACAAACACCACAGCCGACAGCCTGAAAGAATACGAACATTACAAATGAAACGAACGGAATCAAACATCAAATTCGCGCAATCAACGGGTTTTCACCACTAATAGTAATAATGCTCTTTGAATGTACTGAAATTAGCAAATATAAGTAAATACAACATAGGACGAAAATTTTGTACGAATAGAAGAGGTCTAATTACCACAGAAGTACTGTAACGACGTGTTGAATGCTACTCGAACGCAAATTCATGTACTCTTGAAGTAAGCGAATGACTTGAACTGACTGGACTTTTTAGAAGATGAACTGTAGCATTCAATTAAAGCATAATGATAGCCGCAACCGCAGAACTGCCAGGTTTATATAGAACTTTTTTGGATACGATCACATCAAATATTATACTCGATTGCAAACGAAAACAATCGAAACATAACAAGCAATACTCTGAAACAATTGCTACCTAACAAGCAGTATTGTATGCGTATGGTAATAGTAGTAAATTGTATAATATTCGATGGTTATTCATTAAAAATGTAAGTGCTCCTCAAAAACTCATCTAACGCATCTACTTGACTCTCACTCACTGGAATGTACACTATTGAAATACTTTTACGTTCTCTTCAATCGCTTCAACAACAGTTTGATGATTTTGTTTTCATCATCCTCACATCAAATCAAAATATATGCAACGGCAGTCTGCCAAGTAACGCCCTACCTGATAGATATTACTATGTGAAAATGGCATCAATCAAACCGGATGATGAACGCTTACTGTTAGCACAATCCTGGTTTTTATGCTAAATGAATAATTTACATGTTTAGTGATGTTAGTTTATCATTAACTATACGAAACTGTACACAGTGAATGACTGCGAGAATTGGAAGCGAAACGATCAGTAGCTGGCAATGAAATGTGGCTGCTGAGGAGGCAGCGAAGCAAGTTATCATTGACTGATAACAAAATGATAAAATGGCGCTTGAAAACATTGAAACTGCACTATTGTGGTTGAACTGTATCTGGTAGATGGAATTTACAATGCCAATTGCAAATATATTCCGTTACGGTTCTCTATGCAAATGAGACATTCTCAAAATATTTTCCTTCATTGGTGCAGAATTGCTTCAAGAGAAAATGTGGAAAGCATGCAAATTATATAGGACATCCTCACTTCCCTTCTCTATTACTGTCAGTTGAATGAAGCAATTTTTTAGACGAAAAAAAAACTGAACCAGCATTGTTGCTTTGAATTCTTTCATGCTCTATTCAAAACAACAAGCACACAGCTACTGCTGGATAGAGAACCAGCATTGTTTTAGAAAAGGCTTTTATTTTGGTTGGTAGTCAACGAAGATATTTTTGAGAATGCTTGCGATTGAATGTTTGATCAGCGATTTAAAATTCATTGCATTCCTCAGATTTTCGAGAATTCAGCTGATCAAATTGTTTATTCAGTTCGAATATCACAACATAACCAATTTTGGCAAGAGACATTCGAAAGAATGAAGTAGTGTGGTTGTTGCTCCTTTCAGTTTCATTTTGACGCTTCCATCCGGTCATCAGAACTAAGGAAGTTTCAAAGGAAAAAAGTGTTATGAGCGATTACTGAGTTTATATGATGGATTATGAAAAAAGTTGTGAATGTAAACACTTCGTCCATTCGGCTTTTCTCTTTCCGAAGTACAAAATTTCTCAGCTAGCAGTTGGTCGATCTAAACGTTTGACTGCAACAACAGCAGCAGTAGCAGCAGCAGCACCAGTAGCAAATCCCATTATTACTACTATACGTCAATTATTAGGTGTTTGTCATAATTGTGATCAATTCCAACTTTTATCTATAGATATAAGCGGCCGACCGCCAATCACCACTCTTTTATAGTTCTTTCCTTACTCTATACCTTAGACCTTCTCGAAGATATAATCGAATAATTCGTTTACTTACCATTGCAATTTATTCAAGAGTATATTCATTTGGATCGTTTGTAGGAGAATAAATCTTCAGATGTTTTGATAGTGATTAACATTTGCCGTGATTTCGTACCATACGCAGATGAATTTGCTGAGTATAAATGAATGTAATTGATTTTCAACAACTCTGTTAAATGTTCTAATTTATAACTGAATATGGACAACTCTGATTTCAGAGTGGAACTGTATCGATGATTTAAACTAATTGTACTGCGACAACGAATTGTGACATGCTATCGCGTATTATGATCAACAGAGCTATCTAAAATTACTTTCAGACACTTTTGTAATTATTTGTTCCAGATTCTGAAGGTATTTGTCCAAACGAGAAATTTGAATAGTCCAAAGAGCGATAAAATAAATCCAAACAAACGTTTAATCAAATGCTATGTGCTAGATACACCAAACAACTGATCTCTAATCAAAAATCAATTCGATAGTAACCGTTATAAGTCAGTTTACTTATCATCAAGTTCTACCACAAATCGTGGATCCAAATTTGGATCTACGAATCTGATTCAATGCAAAATCCACCATCATATCCAGCGTCATCGTCATACCGTTGCTATCCGTCTAATGTCACTAATCCACAATCCGCTGATACTTCGTCGCTACTTTCATCATCAACGCAACTATCACCAAATCAATTCCCGAACTATGCCTACTGCTATCAACCATCTACCTCAAACGTCTTCCCGAACACCCTATCAGCACCAACTTCATCTTTCTGCGATTATTCCCCACATCATTCCACTTATCAATGTCATACGGTGATGCCCAATGCACAGATCGCCTGCACTGATTTTTTGAGGAGCAATAGTGCTCCTAATACAGCCGTAACAACGACAATTTACAATCGTCATAATTTCAATCATTATTACGACATGAATGACGTATCCAGTAGGCAACCTATTTATGAGTGGATGCTTGAAAAAGATAAAGAACGAAAACGAAACGACAATACGCAGAAACGACACAGTACCCCGACGATCACTCTGAATTCAGGTACGACAATTACTTTTTCAATATATTATGGATGATATCATCCGTTAGTGTTGAGTATAGTTACTGGGAG